ACTATCAAATCCATTACATAATAAAGCACCCAAGAAATTAAGCATCTTTGTGATGCTAAGTCAGGACATGAGCATGAAACATAAGCCATATTGATAGCTGTCTTGGTTACTTTTCTCTTGTTGCTGAGACAAAATACCTGACACCTAAAGTTAAAGGGGAGAAGGTTTATTTGGCTTGTAGTTCAGAGAGGTTTCAGTCCACAATTGGCTGTCTTCAAGGCAGGGATGGCAAACAGGTATCACAGAGAAGAAACAACATGGCACATACAAGCAAAGGTAACAGGGACCTTAACAGCGCCTTCCTGCCCCTTTTGTCTTATTCAGGCTTCTTAGGGCGGGTAGCACTGACGCCCTTAATCCTAGTGCCCTAGGGCCTTGCCCCTCCATGAGTCAATCACACAGTCTAGATCCAGCCACTTCGGAGAAAGCATGAGGCTTTGGGGGACATCTAGACACAGCCCTAACAGTGGCTGAGGGTCAGTGACACCCGTGGGAGGTTCTGCAGAGTACAAACCCAGCGCATTTTGGCAGACCAAGCGCACTCCTGCAGTGATGCCTCTACCTGCAGAGAAGACACCCCTGACTTGAACTCACCTGTCCCCTTAACGTACAGCACCTATGAATCCGTATCTTCCTTTTCCCAGATCACTTTTTGTTTTGTTTGCAAAAGAAATATGACCCCAGGACCAAAAAATGTGAAAAAAGTAACCTATAATTACCATCACTTTTGTGTTTTCTCTCCAGTCTCTTCCTTCATAAACTATGTTTTCATATGTGTGTTACTAATATTCTAGAAACTATTTGGTATCCTGCTTTTCTCCCCATTATGACAAGCATTTTCCATTAATGAATTATTTAACACTATGAGTTACATAACGATTCCTTTATTTCTGAAGCCCTAGGCGGTTTCCATTTTTCTCTATTACATTTATCTCTACAGATAATGTTGCAATGAACATATTTGTAAAAGAAGGTAGTGCTTCTTTTGGGTTATTTTCTTAGACTATAAATTAGAGGAGGATTATTAGGCCAAAAGTTATCTTTTTTTTGGTACCGGGGATTGAACTCGAGACCTTGGGCTTGTGAGGCAGGCAGCAGAATCACGGAGCTAAATTCCCAGCCCCAAGAGTTATCATTTTTAATGGGTTTTGGTTTATATGACTGTTACCTTTAATATGACACTTCTTTGGTCTTCTGGTGAAAGCCCCTGCACTGGATGAACACCTAAGCATGGCAGGATGAACCCACTATACCTAAACATGGAGAAAAAAGTAAGAGGAATAATAGACAAGGAGACTATGATGTCATTCTGAAGAAACAGCAGAAAACAATCTCTTTTCAGGGCTATGTTAATAGGTTTTTTCCTCTTCACCCTCTAAAATAGGTGTCTGATATTATACATCTAATATCATAACCGTGTCCTTATTGGCAACCCTTTAAAAACTTAATTAAAGTAGCACCTTTCTGAAAGTTGAATAATCTTTTCAAATTCTCTTGAATGTTCAGCAACTGCTACAAGGGCCACAATGTTAGCCTGAAAAAAATACAGATAGTTAAGAGTCCCAAATAACACACACAGTTAATATAAATCAAGTGAAATATAAATATTACTATTTAATCTACATAAACCTATGAATTAGATTTAGAATGTAATCAAACAACTTGCCCAAGATCATGAGGCTTATGTGATCCCAAAGTCCATACATCTAATTAACCTGAAAGTTGCTGTATGTAAAAGTGTATTAATACACAACCATTTCT